ACCAGGAGGGTGTTGACCAGGGCGCGCTTGATCGAACAACTCACATCCGAATACCAAAACCCCCCAATACTGAGACACGATGCCTTCACCGCATTGAGTTTCTTGTGAAGCGCGGGCGCAGGGGTGAAGGTCGACGCCTGGGGCCCGCCTAGATATCTGCAGTGGTGTAACGTACGACCAGCGACGCCTGCAGTTCCATTGCAAACCTTCTTCTGCGTAGCGTGGGCTCCACGGCCTCTGAAGCAGCAGATGTGTTCCTGCTTGTTGGTGGTCTGTCCTGCACCCGCCCTCCCAAGTCCCTCGTCGATCGCTTCGTTCTCAAGCTGACTCCCTCTGATGATCGTATCCTCCATCGCCCCCTCCCCGTCCTCCAAGACCTTATTGGCAACGTCATCGGCATAGCCTGTCATCGAACACTGTTCTTGCCACTCCTCGTTCCATGGGGGAGGGTTTCGAGGTACGGGAACCAGTTCTTCGTCACCGCAAGGTCGGCGAAGGCCTCCAAGACAGGCTCGGAGCATGTCCTAAAAATCAACTGGGTCGCCCCAGTGTCTCCTGGGAAAAAGCAGCGTTTCCTTTGCTGCCAGACGGTGCCCATTTCATCTTGAAGTAAGAGCGTGTTGTGTAGCATTCGGTCCTTGGTGAACGTGCGATCTTCTGGAGCGTAGCAGGAGTAGATACAAGCAAGGGCGGCGGCGTGCCGCACTGCATAGTACGCGTTGGTCGCGTCGTGGCAACGCTGCGCGTGAGAAATGCTTGCAGTCTGCATTCTGAAACTGTCAGCCAGCTGCACCCCCATCGCTGTATCCCTCCTCCCCCTCCGAAGCCCTCCATGGATCCAGTTGGGCGGCTCCAACTGGGGCGACTTGCGTGCAAGAGCACCTGCGTGATATGCTCTGCTCAACGTGCACATGACCATGATGATGCGCTCACCGTCCGTGTCCAATTGTATGTGGTGTTTCGGTATGCGTGCGGCCTTTGCACTGTGCCAGGAGATGGGGAACCTGTCGTACGTCCTACATGCGCGCAGTAGTCCTATCAGCACGTCTCTGGTCCTTGTGGGCTGTGTGCGCTCAAGCTCATGTCCTACGCCGTGTCGCTGTACGGGTCTGCGCTCATTCGTCCACTGTTGGTGGAGCAGAAGTCTTCAACAGTCTGGAGGGGTGCTCCAGCTCGGCCGCGCACGCCAGAAACGTAGCTTCCGAACACTGCGATATAAACGATTCCAGTCTCTGGCCGCCATGCAGAGGGCCTCTGCCTCATCGCGCTGCTGTCTACCTTCGTGGACAATGTCCTGTGGAACTTGCTGTGGTGTCTCCTCTACGACCGCGCAACCTCCATCCAATGGTGCAAGCTGCATCTCACGTGCCCAGCTCGCTGCACATGCTGATGATCCTGGAACTGCTGCGAAACGTCGTTGCCTGGGCCCTCGATTTCTGCATGCCAGTAGTCGTGCGATGTTTTGAACGAGGTAGTTTTTTTTTGTTGCTGCTTTCTTTAGCTCAGTGTATCTCCGCTGATGTGTTGCTTGCCAATGCTGCTGGCTGTGCTCTCGTATCTGCTTGCTGACTGCTTTGATCATTCTGGCGTGCTCCTCGTCGTCCTCCTCCTTGCTTCTAAGCTCCCTCCTCTCGTGCAACAGGGTCTTCAGGGTCTGCAGGTGTTCCTTGTGGGTCTCTGTGTAGAGGGGGGTGACTCATTCAGGACCTCGAGAGTGGCCTGGCTCATGACTCCCGTGGGGATCTCATTCATGAGTTCTAGATCTCCAGACACACATCCGCCTGCCCGAACTCATCCTTCTCTTTTGCGAGTCTCTCCATGGCCTCGAGTACCTCGTGGCGCTTGTGTCCCGTTTGAACACATGGATACAAATCTTATGGATTGGGGTGGGGTTCTCGATGAGGCTGTGCTGCTGCTGTCAGCTGGACAATCAAAGACGCCATGATGGGCTTGTAATCTCTGTGTTCCTTGCACAGTGCTATCTGTAATCTCTTAGCGCTGGTGGTGAGCACCTGTACCTTCCCTTCCGTCCCGAGCGCGGCTGAGGGCACACACACATGATCAATGTATCTCCCCGCCCCCGTGTTGGAGGTGAATGCCGGAGGACAAGTATAGTGTGTAGTAAGGCTTCTGCTTCTTCCCCTCCTCCGCTTCCTCCCCGCCCGGCTTGCAATTCGAGCTCAAGTGGTTTTCAATGTTGGATGGAGATGCGAGTTGCCTCCATGCTCCAAGGTTCACTGGTTTTGCCGATGGCGCGAATTCGTTGGGTGCGTGACTCCTGCTCCTCGTTCTCGTCCTCGTCGTCGGCCGTCTCCTTCTCCGAAGGCTGGTCCTATACCAGCGGGATTTCCGTGCACCGATTCCGTGACATGCATCTGTTTCGTTGCCCCAGTCCACGGTTTTCGTTTCGGGCCTGGCGGTTGGCGCGTAGCTGCGTGAATTCGGCAGCCGGCATCCAGACTGGAGACATCGTGCGGTGGACGTTGGGTGGTGCTTCGCCAAAAAAGTAGTGTGTAGTAAGGCTAGTCATCTCCCATCCTGCAGCAAATGGTCTCAGCCTGACTGATCTCCGTGTCGCCTTGCCTCTCCCGTAGCGTCCCGCGACCGCGTCTAGATAAGAGTGAGGCAGGCCTCCATTGAGATCAGTGGCAATGATGGTAAGCGCACCCTGTTCTCTGGACAAGGTCATGGATTCACAGAGCCAAGTATTCATCTGGTCAAGTGTTCTCATATACAAGACGTCCTGCTCGCGTGGTTTCCTGAGGGGGATCGTGAAGTACAGCAACACCGAACATGATACCACCTCGTTTCGACAGGAGTCCAATAAATCTGCCCCAGAGCATCTTGGGAACTGGGATGAACCGTTTGATGGAACTCGTCGGGAAGATGCTTCGTCTCAGTAAAACCGTCACACCATATGCCTTCGAGGTAAGAGCACCCAGAGAAAATACATATTCAATAATACTAGAATATCCTACTCGTCGTGAATCCTCACACTGTGTTCCTCGAGATCTGAGTTGTGTGCCAGTGAGGGCATTTACACCTTTCTTGCCAAGCTCTTGAGCTGTGTCAAAGAGTCGAGAGTGTGTGTCGGCAACAACCGGATTGAACTGCACAACGCGAAGCAAGCTTGGGATCGCCAGCGGGCGCGGGCCGCCGCCTGGCGCGCCGCCGCGGGGCGAGGGGAGTATGCTCCGTCGGGGATATGAAAGGGGTGCCAGATTCTTGGTGGCGCGTTCCTGGGCGCCTGATCTGGGCCACCTATGGAGGAGGAGGAGGAGGAGGAGGAGGAAGAGGAGGAGGAGGAGGCGGAGGAGGAGGAGGGGAAGGAGGAGGGGGAGGAGGAGGAGGAGGAGGAGGAGGAGGAGGAGGAGGAGGGGAAGGAGGAGGGGTAGGAGGAGGAGGAGGAGGAGGAGGAGGAAGGGGAGCAGTGGAAAGGACGCGAGGCGAAGGTTGTGGCAAGAGGATTTGTTGGTTGTGAGTCCCTAGCTCGATCCTCTTCCAGCCTGGGTCCCAGCACGCCCCACCCTTTGCAGGAAGGTCTTGGCATCGCTCGGACGTGTGCATTTGTTCGGCGAGAACAATCGAGGACCATCCTGGACCATCGAGCAAAAAAAGACACGCACGAAACCGACAAATGCACGGGAAATGGACGTCCGAGCGACGGCAAGAGGTTGCGGCAGGAGATCACCGACGGTGAGAAAACATAGTGGTGGCATTGGAAACAGCTCTGAAGGGTCAGCTCCCTAAGCGTTTCCTCCGACCGACGATCGATCACAACCACGACGACGCCGCCGATGACGTCGACGACGACGACGACGCACACCGACGACGACGACGACTGATGACGATCGACGACGCTTGACGACGCCGCCGACGACGGTCGACGACGACGTACCACGAACAATGACGACGTTGACTATCGACGACGACGCAGTCGACGACGATCGACGGCGACGTTGACGCCGTCGGCCGCGTTGGCGGCGGCGGCGAGGTGGCAGTCTCCCTCGCCATCGGCCAGCTCCTGGTGGGGGCGGTCGGGCTCCCCACGCGCCCGCCCTGCGAATGCTCGAGCCTTGCAGAGTCCCCCGCCGCCGTCTCCGTCGTCGTCGTTGTTCGCTGGTCGCCGGTCGCCGCAGCGGGCGTCGTCGTTGCCGTTGGTCGTCAGTACGTGGTCGTCAGTCATCGATTGTGTCTCAGCGGTCCGCCGTCGGCGTTGCCGTCGTCAACGGGGGCGGGTCGAGGATGTTTGATCGCGGATTGAGGGTTGTGGAGGGTCGCGAGCATGTTTGGGCCTTTGGGGTCTGGTGGCCATCTCTGGGTCCGTCTCGAAACGCGCTCCGCCAAATCCAGAAGTAGTCGTCGACGGCAACGCCAGCGTTGTAGTCATCACTGTCATCGCGAATGGTAACGTCAACGTCAATGCCATCGTCGCGAGCGTCAAGGCCAGCGTTGTCGTCAATGTCGTTATCAACGCATCCGACGTCAACGTCACATCGTCGCCGTCTCTGCCGATGTCGCCGTAAACATCGGGCACAGGTCGTTCAGGTTCACGCTGCGTCGGCCCAGCGGTTGACTTCAGCGCGGGCATCCAGGGTTGAACGCCGCCGAGTACCCAGAATCGGTCGATACCGATTGATGAGCGTTATCCTTGGTAATGTTGAACGAGCCTCGCGGTGTCAGACACCAACGCCCATGCCATCGCGACGACTCCCCTCTCCTCTCGATGCGTCGAGGCGCCTCCGGGAGAATTTCGCCCGCCCCGCCCGCGGCAGCCCGTGGGCCCGAGGTCGTGAAGCAGCGTGGCTTCGCCGAGCCAGTCGTCAAGGTGTTCATGGCGCTCTTCTGCATGAGGGACCGCCTTCCCCCCCCCCCTCTCGCCGACCTCCATCGGCGGCGAGCGAGGGGGGGAAGGCAGAAGGAGGAGGCCCTCTCACAGGGCGGCGGGGCTTCTCGGAGGCCTCGCGCCTTCTGAGGGGTGTGATGTCCAGATGTGGGGCAGGACGAGAGACTTCTCAGAAGCTCGGGGGACTTCGAGCCGTTTGAGAAGGCCCGCCCCTTCTCACCTCTCCCCCGCGCTCGCCGCCAACTGCATGAAGGCAGAGGGGCACGAGACACCGGGCAGAACGGCGGCGGGCGGAGGGTGCCACATACCTGCACCGATCCTGGCCAGGCCAAGCCTCCTCCCGGGAGTGGGGCGCGGGCCCCTGATGCACCCCGGCAGGATCGGGGAGGTCGGTAGGTTGGTTTGTTCAGCCCAGGCATGTTGCCATGACTTCTGCTCCAGGGGGCTCCTCCTCCTCCTCCTCCTCCCCCTCCTCCCTCTTCCTCCCTCCCTCCTCCTCCCTCCCTCCTCCCTCCCTCCTCCTCCCTCCTCCTCCTCCTCCTCCTCCTCCTCCTCCTCCTCCTCCTCCGGCCGGGGCCGTCAAGCATGATCGAGGTGTGCCCCTGGCCCACCTGAGGGCAGGCACCGACATGCATGGCGAGGGCCCAGGTCTGCGCAGGACGTTGGCCCTTCTGGGCCGTTCGTGGACCCTCTGTCGACCAACATGCTGTGTGCTGCGCTCCATGGTTTTATTCCACCAGAGATAAAAAACAATCAGTGCATGGTTTGATCGATAAGGAGATCGACCGGGAACCCGGGAACCCGGAAGCCACCAAAATCGGCCCCGAACCAATAACCAGGAACAACCAGGAACCCGGGAACCCAGCTGGCCACCAAAATCAGCGGGTAATTTTCGCCAAGTCTTGCAATTTCCGCTAGGACCCCTTTAGTGCAAGCACTGACTGAGGAATTTCGAGTTCTACGAATAACGCTGGGGAGCGTCCTAACTGCTTCTCCGGATTACCCGTTCCGTTGTCGGCCTTGGCGGGCGGTGGTACAGACGACCACACGCGGTTTCGCCTCACCAGGTGCCCATGGCCTCGTGGGGACGCCTCAGATTTCGCAGAACCTAGGTGGGTTTCGTGAACTTTGAGCGTGCTTCGTGGTTTCTGTTCGTGGCATGTGGGCGACCTAACATTGAGGGAACCCGATTGCGCGGACATTCCCGCTTGGGGCCGCGCGCAAGCGCTCTCGTTCCTACACGGCGTGCCGCGCTGGCGGCCGTCGTTAGGAAGGCCGCCGCGTAGGGTCCGTTTCTCATCGTCACCAACGTGCCAGTGCTGCGCATATTTGTGGTCTTGGGCCTGGCGCTCACCCTAGGTCCTCGACATCGATGCTCTCGCGCGCGCTCGCGCGCTCAGAGGAGTTCCGCATCCTGTCCCTGCTCGGCGCGGTCTTCGGGGTGCTGAAGCTGGAGATGGCCAGGCACCAGGGGGGGAAATGACACCCGCGCAGGGCACCTGTACACCACCGCGCCTGGTCGGAGCCATCCTGAGCCACGAGGTGGTGCAGGCCCTCCCTGTAAAACGACGCGAAGATCGGGACAAAATCGGATCGGGACAACTCGAAATCTCTGAGAATCGGCGGGTTTGGAGGATGTACTGGGCGCCGCGGCCGCTCTCAGCGCTCCGGAACGCTCTGGAGCAATTTATCCCGATCCTAGCCCTGTTTTACCCTGGTCTCGGCCAGCAGGCCCTGTGCGTCATGCCGGGGCAGCAGGCCAATGTACACGCTTGGGCCCGTGGCCGCTGGCGTGGGGTGCCGTGACGGCACGCCGCCGGTCGCGTCGGAACCTAGAGGTCCTCTCCTGGGTCCCGCGGATGGCCGCTTTGTCGTCGTCGTCGTTGCGGTCGTCTTCGTTGCGGTCGTCGTCGTCGTCGTCGTTGCGGTCGTCGTCGTCGTCGTCGTCGTCGTCGTCGTCGTCGTCGTCGTCGTCGTCGAGCATCGTCGTCGTCCGGTAGATACCTCGCAATTAGTTCGCTGTGGTGCCGGGGCTCCTCGATGTGAAACTCGAACTGGTGGCCTTCCGGGTGGTTGCACTCGCTTCTTCACGATCCGCAACCCAGGGACGCGACGATTGCAGAGTTTTCTGCATTCGTTGGTGTCGAGGACGTCCTTGAGGATGTCCTCCCTCTGTGGGGATGTCTTCCCTTTGTGGGGACCCCTCCTCCATGAGCTCGCAGTGGCAAGATCCACCGCTGCCGAAACGGGCGCACGGGGCACTCCCGCCCCGCTGGCGGCGCTAGAACAGGTGTGGGCGTGATGAGTTCTAAGATCCCCAGCACTCCCCAGGCTTTTGAGAACATGTGCCGACATTTCCAGCAAGCATTTTCAGGACATGTTTCCGACCTGTTAAACACATTTTTTAATTCGATGAGAGGACTGTTAGGGTGTCCATTGTCGTGGCATCCACAGCCCCAGATGTCCCGCTGTCCCGCACGGTCTCCAGGAGCGAGGGCCGCTCGAAGCTCCTCGGGACTCCAGGAGCTTCTTGGCCACCCGAAGGGGGCGCGAAGAGAGCCCGAGCACGCGCACCGCGGGCCAGGCCCGGGGATGCGTCCTGCTCCCGCAGGGGCAGCCCCGAGGGCGCGAGGTCCTTGGTATCGCTCGGACGTGCGCACTTCTTCTCAGCGGGGATGAGTAAGGAGCATCCTGGATCATCCCGCGAACAAAAGCCACGCACGAAACCGACAAAAAAGCACAGGGAATGGACGTCCGAGCGACGGGGAGGGTCCTGAAAAAGCACGCGCGCCGCACACCGCGGGGCACGAGCTCACCTGGGTGATATGCCCTGCCCTGTTTGATTCCTCTGTTTGATTCCTCTGCTTGATTCCTCTGCTTGACTCCTCCTGTGGGCGCGTTGACTAAACTGCTTCGCGTGTCGGGGTGGTTATGATCGGGCTGGGTATTCTGCCCTCTATGAAGCAGCGTGCGCGCCGCACACCGCGGGGCACGAGCCAGCCTGGGTGACATGTAGGAGCGCGCACCGAGCTGGTGGCATCACGGCACCACTCTCTCGTCCGGGTGTCGGCGGCGCGCCGAGGGGTAGAGCGAGATGGGCGTGCCTTCCCTCGCAAACTGGAACATATGCATTACCAGTGGCGGGTTGTTGTTCAATCCCACGACTTTTAAAGGGTCAGGGACGACGTCGGGGTAGTGTGGTGCATACGTGTCCCCCGTTTTCCAAGGGAAACAACGAAACCTTTGTTTTTTGGTCGGCGGGGCGAGAGCGAACCTCTTCCGCTAAAAGCTAGGCGGGCTACGCACAGCTTTAATTTGGGAGACAGGGCACAGGAAGGCGGGGCCTCAGGCGGCCAGAGCGGGCGGAGTCCGGGGTGCAGGCGGTCCCGGAGAGCTTGCACAGGAAAAGGTACGCCGCGGACAGGGACCAGGGGCGAAGACCCAGAGGGCGAGCGATGTGGTGTTGCCGTCAACGGCACGTCGCGAACACCAGCCTCAAGCACCAGCCTCGGAAACAACGAAACATGTGTACACCAGGACCCCGTATAAACCAGAATCCGCGTTCCTGTGCGAATGTCAGCGCAGGGACGGGAAAAGCGTCGGTGTATAGACTTCGTTTTCCTATTCCCAGACGGCAGGCGGGGCTTCTCGGGAGCCCTCCAGCCTTCTGACAACCAGGAGGGAAACAAAAACACACAGACACAGTTCGTCGTCGACCCCTCCCCGAAACTATGGGAAATTCTAAACGCTTCGCGTAACCCCACCAGCCCGTCCAGAAATGAGTCCCAGGGGACTGGAGGTGATGAGGGAAGCCTGGGAGGATGCAGAAAAACACAGGGCGGGGTAAGCCGCCATATACCCCAAGAGGGGGAGGATGTAGGAGTCGTCGTCGTCGTCGTCGTCGGAATAGGATGGGGGAAGAGGAGGAGCAGGAGGAGGAGCAGGAGGAGGAGGGGGAGGAGGAGGAGGAAGATGAGGAGGAGGAGATGGAGGAGGGCGAGGACGTGGAAGACGAGAAGGAGGAGAAGGAGAAGAAAGAGGAGGAGGACAAGTGGGAGGGGGAGGAGGGAGGAGGAAGAAAAAGGAGGAGGAGGAGGAGGAGGAGGAGGAGGAGGAGGAGGAGGAGAATGGCGAGCTTGGGGGCTTCTTGGGCCGTCTTTGGGGCTTCTTGGCGGTCCCCGGGGCTTTTTGCGTATCTCGGGGAGCCTCTTGGGGCCTCTTGGGGGTCTCTTGGGAGCCTCTTGGAGGCCTCTTGGAGGCCGGCCTCTTGGGGCCCTCTTGGGGCGCTCTTGGGGCGCTCTTGGGAGCCTTCGGGGCGCTCTTGGGGCCATGTTGGAGGAGATCTATCAAAAAAGGGGGGGGGCTAATTAGCGTTGCCCCTCTAGAGTGCTCGAATCGCCTCTTGGGCCCCAAAAGAGGCCAACATCCTTCCAAAACCTAGGGACAGCAATGTTTTATTGATTTCTCGCCTTTTCGCTCTTGGAGCCGTCTTGGGCCATCTTGGACGCCCCAACGACCCGCGGAACCCCCCGTCCAGGTCCATGGGAGGGGGTAGGGGGAGGGGAAAACCCCTTCCCGACGGGGAAGAGTGGGGTTGGAAGAGGAAGCTCTCTAGACCACCGACGACCAGAGGGCTGGAGGGATTATCGGCGCGCGCGATCGGCCTTTTTTGGAGCGTGGAATGGAACGGGATTCGCAGGGGCGCGGGCGCGTGCTTCGCGCGATTCGTGTCGCTTTTGCAAGGGATTTGCGCCTCAGCGCGCGCGCAAGGGCGCCCGGGTGATTTCGACGCGCGTTGGGAGAGGCATCCTGGGTAGCGCGTCATGAATGCATTGACGATGCGAAATGCTCTTCTGGGATTAGTGGCGCGCGTGCTTTTTTTGAACGCCGATGTTGCTAAACCATTTGTGCTTGCGCGTGTTCGGGGCACTCGGCGACGAAGCCCGCGTGAAACCTTGTTTTGTTATATTTTTTGGGGGGGGCGCGGCGCGCGCGAGTGCAGTTCGCGTTGTTTTCCGCGCGGTCGGGCGGCGATTGCGCGAACGCGAGGGCGTTCGAATGATTTCGACATGCGCACGCGGGCGCGCGGCGGGGGCCGTCTCATTTTTGTTCAGGTCCCCGAGGTTGTTCTATCGTTTTTTCCTCTTTTTTCCTCTCGATGACCTCCTTGACTTATTATTATTATTATCACTTTCTCTCTCTCTCTCTCTCTCTCTCTCTCTCCCTCTCTGGTGTATATATATATATATATATATATGTATATATGTATATATATATATATATATATATATCAAGCTCCTGTCGCCACTTCCAATATGTGCACGTATTATGTTTTTCTTTTGACCTCTTCCTCTCTTTCTCTGTCTCTTTCTCTCTCTCTCTCTCCTTCTCCCTCTCACTTTATCATCATTTCGATATTTCTAACCGTCCTTGAAAAGAGACAGAGGAGAAATCGGAGCCCCTCTAACTCAAGCTTCGTTTTCGAACATGTTGGTGAAAGGAAGCCGCTTGTAGAAGAGAACGGGAACATGAGGAGGTGGGACAAGACGAGAGGGGGGAACGAATGCGAGGAGAGCATCGGGGGAGTAGGCCGAGGAAATAATGAGAGGGGACATCACATGATGAGGGAGGAGGATCCATGCCTAACCGGATTACATTAGAGGTGTATCCGTATGTAATAAGATGCGATTACATGTGGTTCACATGTAGTAGGTATCTTTTAGAGGTTCTGTAATGATATTATATTAGATGCGGTTCAATATGTACTATGACTAAATTAGAGTTGGGTTTATATATAAACGGATTCCATTACATGTGGACCCATCTATAATAGGATTCTGTCAGAGATGGACTCATCGCTAATATGATCCCATCAGGAGTGGATCCATCTCTAATAGAATTCCATGAGAGATGGGTTTATCTCCAATCGGATTCCATTAGATCTGGATCCATCCGCGATAGGACCCTATTCGCAGTGGATCCACCTGTACTAGGATCTCATCAGAGGTGGATCCATCTCTAAGGGGATTCCATTAGAGGTGGATACAGCCTTAATCGACTTCCACTAGAGGTGGGCCCATCTGTAACAGGTTTCTATTCGAAGTGGGTCAATCTCTGTTGGAATTCCATTGAAGGTGGATCCACCTGTAATCGGGTTTTATTTAGGTTGGGTCCATATATGATAGGACTCCACGCGGGGTGGATCTCACCCTGATCGGATGCCATTCGGAAGGGCACATCCCTAACAGGTTTCTAGTAGAAGTGGACCCATCCCGAATAGGAGCCTGTTAGAGGTGGATCCATATGCGATGGGGATCCAGTATGAGGCGGATCCATCCCCAATGGGGTTGTATTAGAGGTGGGTCCATCTGTGATAAGATTCAAAGAGAGGCGGGTCCATCTGTAGTGGGGTCCTATTTGACGTGGGCCCATCCCTGTTCGGATTCCATCCGGAGTGGG